GGGGGGGCGGGCAGTCGTGACGGTTGGGCAGATTGAATCGCCTAGCCTCCTCCCGGTGGGGGGTCTTCCCTCCCACCCCACCCCTGACTTGCTGGGCTCCAGACCAGAGTGGGGGATGGGGTCTGCCCACCCTATCCCCAAGTCTCCTAGGAGGAGAGCACCTGCCTGCAGCGGTGGCCTTGCCTTCCCAGGTTTGGGGGCCCGGGGTCCTGCCGGAGCTCTGTACTGGGGAAGCTCATCCCCGGAGGGGGACCCTGAAGCCCCCCAGGTCACGGAGCCCAGCCGTCTTGTGGGGGAGAGCAACGGGGGTGAGGTCCGGAAGCAGCAGCTGGACACCAGGGTTCGCCAAGAGCCTCCTGGGGGGCCGGTGAGTGGGGCTAGTGGTGGGCAGAACCCGGACAGAGTGAGCAGGCCTTAGAGCCCAAGGGCAGCTGGGGGCCCAGAGCGAGGGAGTCAGGGTCTAGTCGCTCCTCTGCTGCCACCCTGCCCCTGCCACTTCCCCTTCTGCTCAGGGGCTATCAGGTGGGTGTTAGTCACTCTCCAGCAGCCTGGCCCTCCAGTGCCAGCCCTTGTCCTACACGCACGGAGGGGAACCTGGGATGCCCAGGTCTCAGCTCAGGCCCCGCCCCCCCACATCTTCCTAGTGCTTGCTCCAGCCTCAGTTTCCCACTGTGCACTGGCTAACAGGCAGGGCTCTCTTCTTGTCCATGCCCCCCGCTAGGGTGGGGTCCTGAAAAAGTCTTTGGGGACCCTGAGCCCCCCTACAAAGGCCACCTCCTCCCACCCCTGTCCTTTCAGCTGCCAGGTCCCTCTTGCCTCCCAGAGGAAGGTTAGGAATGAAGGAGATTAATTGCAATTAATAATTAATTAATATCATGTGAATAATAATCACCCAGATGGAATATTCATTCAGCACGCCTCAGCTCTCCAGGAGCTGGAAGCTGAAAGGTAGCCAGGTCGGTGGGGCGGTGGAGGCTGGAGGTAAAGGGCTGCTGTGTACATAGGGGTGCAGCTGGGTCTGAGAAGTTCTGGCAGTCAGGTGGTGGGAGGTGGGCTGGGCTGGGGGAGGCGGGAGGGAAACGGAGGCTAACATTAGGGACATCTGTCAGACTGGCATCTGGCCCTGCCTAATGTACTTGGTTAAAAGCCCTTAAGGAGGGGTGGTGGAGGGGGTGTGGGGTGGCGCAGGGTGGGGAGAAATGGACTGGAGCAGGAAGGAGCATGCATAATAGATGGGCCATCACTCAGGGCAGTGCCCAGATGGGGGAGGGGCTAATGGTGCTGCGCTGGCCTGCAGGGGCCCGGGGTGAGGGTGGGGGGCGGCTCCAGTGCCTGACCAGGCCTGGGAGGTGGGTGGGTGGGCGATGGAGATAATGGAGAGGCCGGAGGAGAGGATGGAGAGGCGTTCTGGCTGTGGTCTGGCCCTCAATCCAGCTTTCTCCTCTGGTGTGGTGGCATCCCTGCCTTGGCATTGTGCGGCTCAGGGTGGCCTGGCTGGGGGTGGGCTACCCTTCTGGAATGAGGGGACTTCTGGCGTGTGCTCCAGGGGGTTCCAATATTTGGGGTGGGGTCCAGGGGCAGAGAGTGGACAGAATGGGGCAGGTATGGGTGACCAGAGGGGGCGGGCTGACTAGGTAGGCTGTTGCTTCAGCTTCGTCCTTCCCAGAGACAGGACCTCAACATGTGTCCTGGGGAGGGGTTAGATTGTGGGGTACGTGGTCCCCAAGACTGTTGGGAAGATCAGCACCAGTGTCATTAGGTTGGCTGGCTAGGAGGGTGGACTTTGTGGGGACCTCTCCTTTGGTGTCACTCATGGGTGAGTAGGTAACAAGAAAGTGACTATGCCTACATGTGTCTAAGGGGGTGTCTGTGGGCCTGACGCTGGGCAGAGGGTGCTCGCCTTCGGAGGGGCTCTCTCAACATTCACTCTCGCCTCTCTGCAGGTAACGCTTGTCTGCCCCATTTTGCAGACGAGCCAAGCGAAGCTCAGAGAGGTTCAGTCACTTGCCCAAAGTCCACCAGCTTGTCAATGTGGCACTTCACGTTATGTCCTCCGAGACCGAGCACTGGTCCTGCACTGTCCTGCTTCCGCCCCCCCACCCCATCCCACCCCCCTTCGCCCCCTGGGGCTGAGGAGGCCAGGGGAGACCAAAAGATGAATCCGGAAGGTCCTTCCCCAAAGGATGTTCTCATCCTCATCTTCTCCCCCAGCCTGGAGGGGCTCCAACCTCGGCCCCAATGCTTGGGCACAGGGTCAGTGCAGCACTGAGCCCCTTTGTCCCCACAGGAAGTGCCCCAAATTAGGGCAGCCTGAGTTTTGTCCAAAATGACAGCACAGGGTTGGGATGCCAGGCTGTGGAACTGTTGGACCCACAGCCAAATTTACCATCTGCAAGGGGTCATGTGGGGCGGATGGGAGGGGTGTCTTGGGCATTGACTTGCTCTGTGACTTTGGACTGGTCACATCTGCTTTTTCCCTGACCCCAGCTTCCGGGCCACTTGAATTTGTCGTTGGTGATAGCAGCTGCCCGGTCACGCCCACACGGACCAGGTCTGCATCACCTTCGTTGTCAGACGGCACCGTTGTGATGCACAGGATTTTCTCCCATGGGCCCATTTCTCAGGTGTCCATCACCAGGCCTTTCTTCCAAGTCCCTGCTCAGCGTCCTAGCATCACAAAAGCTCCCCCACTGACAGCTGCTGGCTGTGCTTGAGGGTCACTGCCTGAAAGGAGAGACTCCTAGCCCTTGTCAAACCCACCCCCACTGGCAGGAGGCGGAGGACCCCAGGCTCAGGTGGGAGTGGAAGGGATTAGAAAGGAGGAAGAGAAATTAAGATCCACTGGGCCAGGTACTGCTCTGCCTTGACATGTATTAAATGATTCAATCCTCACCGCCAACACAGAAAGTAGGGGCTCCCGTCATCCTCACGTCCCAAGTGGGGAAAACAGGCAGAGAGAGAAGTGACCCAAGGTCACACCGCTTAAGTAGCAGAGCCCAGATTGCTAGCCAGTCCATTGTGCCCCCATCGGTTTCAGGGGCATGGCGAAGGGGACGTGGGGTGGGGTGGTGGTCGGGGGTTCTTGCCCTTGCTTGACCTCTGCTCCCAGTACCACAGTTCAGTCCATGGTGGGAGCAGGCTGGGCCTCAGGCCAGAGAGGGAGAGGTTCTGGATGTGCAGAAACCTGTGACCACAGCGAGCCTACAGCTGCGTGGGGGGAGGCAGGAGGGCAATGCAGGCGCAGAGTGGACAGTTGGGCTGGTTGTCTACTGCACAAGGGCTTCCCAGGCGAAGGCAAGGGGGCTAGCATCCACAGGCCCTTGAGTTCTAAGGGGACCCTTTCTAATTCTCACAAGCTGCCTAGTGGGCCCTGCTTGTCTACCGCAACTTGGGAGGCTGGGAAGGGCAGGCTGTGGGGATGGGAATAGGACAGGCCCTGGAGGGCAATCCAGCAGGGTGGGGCAGTGGGGAGGGGGTCTGGGCTGAGCACTGTGAGAGTGCCCAGGGCAGCTTTTCCTGGAAGCGCCTCTGCTGAGTGTATAGGTCAGTGTTGATGTTTTCTTGCTGCAAAGGCTAAGGGTCAAGCAGGCTCAACCCCAGCCCTTGTGAAAAAGGCATCTCCCCCAGGGAGTCACTTGAGGTGCCTAGGGCCCTTGGACGCCTCTAGGGCCAAGGCCACTCTCTGGTCCCCCCCAGCTCTCTGCCACTGCGGGGCGGGGGCGGGGTGTTGTGGTGGTGGTTGTAGATGGGACCTAGGCCGGGCTTTGTGCTGAGCCCAGCCTGCATAGGGACAGCCTTAAACAGAGGAGGCCAACTTGACTTCCTCTGACCGTCTTGGCCATGCAACTTTGGGGTGGGACAGCCTCAGGCTGCAAGCTGGCTCCACAGCTTCAGATTGACACCGCCCCCCTTGCAACTTTCTGTGCCCAATGGCCCTGCTCGGGACACTTGAGGGGTGGGGGGATAATAGCAGCTTGCCCTCAGATTAGAGTTGCCGATGTGTGTCAGGTGCCCTGGCTGGGAGCTGAGAGAACAGATGTTGGACATCTGCTTCTGAGGCACCTGGCGCTGGTACAGGGTTTCCAAAACGAGCTGGTACACTTGGGGGGTGACTGTCAGGGTGTGAGTGAGGTGGGGCGTGGGCTTTTGCCTGGCACATGGCCCCTCCCTAGCACCTTTTCACTGCATACAGGGACCCAGCTGCCCAGAGTCTGTCCCTGGAGGACTGATGACCCTCCAGGGAGGTGACTCTGCCCTCAAAAATTTAGGTCAAATCTCATCATTGGAAATGTGTCCAACTATCCTCATTGTCGGGGAACCCCTGCTGCCATGTGTCCCGTTGGTAAGTGGGGCACCTACCTGTGCAGCGCAGGAGGCAGAGGGGGCAGACTGGCCAGGGCAGAGGGGGCCTCCCAGGCAGGACACACTCTGCTCCCACGTGGGGGTCCTGCCCTCTCTGTGCCCACTCAGCTCATAAAGTGGCACTCACCTCAAAGCAAGCAAGGCCCGGTTCCAGAGGAAAGCTGGCCTGGGCGAGGCACCTCACAGGGACATCCATCCCTTGTCACCTGGGTCTAGGGCCCAGAGCCCCAATCCTGGCCTGCCCCTGCCCTCGGACGGGGTGAGCTTCGGGGCCCTTGATCTCACCCCACAAAGCCGTTTTCGGCCGGAACACTTGCCCTTTCTCCACTTACTCACCCTTCCGAAGGTCACATGCTGGAAAGGGCTGTCACCACGCCCTCACCCGGAGGCCCAGTACCACAGTGGTGATGCCACTCCCAGGTCCTGGAGGACGGAGGGGGACAGCACTCAGGGTTCCCAGGCTGTTGTCTTGTCTTTAGAGACGCAGACTGCTCCCCCTTGGAGCGGCTAGTGGGTACGAACTGCCACCCTCTTACCCTGTTTCCCCAAAAATAAGGCAGTGTCTTATATTAATTTTAGCTCCCAAAGACGCGCTAGGTCTTATTTTCAGGGGATGTCTTCTTTTTCCATGAAAAAGAATACGGTACACATTTATTGTTTATTTTATTAGAAGAGACCTCGCACTTCCTGTCTGCTCCACCTGCGTTGTGGCCAACAGTGAGCTTCGGGGTGGTGCCTGCAGCTATGGTCCAGAGTCCAGTAGCTTTGGGGGGCCTTATTTTCGGGGGTGCCTTATATTTCAGCAAGAGGCAAAACTGTAAGTAGGTCTTATTTTCGGGGGATGTCTTACTTTTGGGGAAACAGGGTAGTTAGCGGCCGAGTGCTTCACCTCTGTGTCACTATTAGGCCTTCCAGTCTCACAGCAGTGTCCTTTTGCCCGTGAGGAATCTGAGGCTCAGAGAGGGGAAGCGACTCACGTGGGGTCCCTCAGACCTAGGACCCAGTTCCTCCCTCTCCGGCTGAGCCCTGGGCACGCGTGGGGGGGGAAAGAGGCGGCGCTCAGGGGAGAAAGATTGCCTTGTAGGAAGTTCGATAACGTAAGCCGATCTGATGTCAAGAACAGGACGTTTACAGGCCCAGGGGTGCTGCGTGCACTGGCAGGGACCCACTTTGCAGGAGAGGTGCTGGGGAGGTCGGGGGCAGCGTGAGGGGATCAATGAAACCCTCTCGTTACTGGGGCAATTCCGGCTCATGGCGACCTAACCCATAGAACAAGGTGGAACAGCCTTGTCCTGTGATCTACTGTAAATCTGCCCTCAAAAATGTAGGTCAAATCTCATCATTGGCCATTCATGCAACTGTCCTCGTTGGCTGGGGATCCCCGCTGCCCTTGCAGGAGTAGAACACCCCATCCTTCGCCTGCAAGCAGCTGGTGGTTCCAAACAGCTGACCTTGCAGTTAGCAGCTCAACCCATAACCCACTGTGCCACAGAGCTGCTGTGTGAGGGGCCAGACAGACCGAGTTCACTGCCATTGAGCCAATTCTGACTCATAGCGCCCCGTAGCACAAACTAGAGCGCCCCTGGGGGTTTCTGAGACTAACTGTTTACGGGAGTAGAAAGCGCCTCTTTCGCCCTCTGAGCTGGTCCAACTCGTGACCGACCGACTCACTATGCCACCAGGACTCCTACTGCGGGAGGGGCAGTGGCTCTCAATCACCAGTGGCCTGCCTGTTGGAATTTTCTGGACCATTTGGGAATCCTGAAGCCCTTTCCAGGACTCTGAGTCTATTTAAGTCCAGGGTGGGGGTGAGGGGAGACCAGGTGTCTGTACTTGTGATTTGGAGCTCTCGGTGGAATGCTTGTCTTTCTGCGCCCCATCTAGTTTGCCCTAACTCGGGGCATGGAGGGGGCGAGCTTTGTCAGAAGCAGGGTGGGGACCCCAGCCTCAGGGTGGGACTGGGCCCTGCACTCATTCCCCAGCTGTCACCCTGGGCCGGTCACCTCCAGGTGACTCTCCCACCTCGGCCACGTCTGTAAGTTGAGGACCAGATGGCCTGGACTGAGCAGGTGAGATCAAGTGAGCTGGACCACATGAGAAGCCAGGGACAAGTACAGGGCACAGGGGCACAGCCAGGGGACACGGGGACACTTGCAGCTGAGCTGGTGCAGAGGGGGGAGCTGGATGAAGCAGGGTGTAACCTGGAGAGTGCTGGAGGCCCCGGGGACCGAGGACACAGATGCGCCCAGCTGTAGGTCAAGGTCTTTGGAGCTGGCCGGGACAGTGACATCAAGCTTGGCTTCATGGAATCTTCCCCCGGCCTCTTGGCTGCAGAGGCTCTGGGGGCCCAGGTGGGCTTACCTGGTATGGCTCTAGGCTTCCCCACCAGGTCAAAAAGTGTGGTCTCTCCTCTCCCGCCATCCCACTCCTGACTCCCGTCTGCCCCACCCCCAGTGCTGCACATGCACTGGCCTCCCACTTACGGTCTTACCTGGCCCACACCCTGTGTCCCGATGGGGAAGAGGTAGGCAGCCTAGATTGAGAGGGTGCTGAGGCGATCGGTTCAGGATGTCCCCTGGGCAGGGGGCTAGAGGGCTGGCTTCCTAGGTGTGTGTGTGGGGGGTGGGGGGGTGTTAGTCTACATCACACATACCAACCTCCTAACTTACACCTGGGCTCATCTTCCCACCATCCTTGGAGGAATCTGAGGCTCAGAGAGGCTGCTCAGCCCTGAAACCACACAGCCTGAGGGTGGACTCAGTGGAGATGGCCCTGATGGGGTGGGTAGGGACGGGCAAGGGGGAGGGTGGAAGGCGAAGGCAGCCGAGGCAGGGATGAGGCAGGAGGCAGTGGCCACTTGTCCCTTACTTCCAGCTTCACGTCTGATCATGAGCTGAGGACTGGGGAGAGCTGGGAGGCTGTCAGGCTGGGTTGGGGTGGGCCTGCGTCCTGGGACCCAGGTGCCTGTTGGCCCAGGCTCTGACCTTGGCCTCCTCTCAGCCTCTCTCCCAGAACCCCTCAGGAGCACTGGGCCATTCCCTCTTAGCTCACTGAAGGCCTGGAAGCTGATCCCCAAAGCTTGAGCCTCAGCTATACCACGTCGTAGAGTTGAGACCAGGGATCACTGAGTTAGTGTCTCTGTGCCTCAGTTTCTCCATCTATGAAATGGGGACAGAGTATCTATCTACCTTCCTGGAGTTAGGAGGCTCCAACGCAGTTAGGAAGGTCCTCAGCACAGTGGCCTGGACCGTAGTAAGTGCTCAGTGAAGTTTGGGGCTGTGGATAAGGACGCTGCCTGGATTTGGTCACCCGCTTGCTGCTTCAACTCTGCTGTGCCGCAGCTTGAAGTGCGCCTCTGCGGGCCTGGATCTCAGTCTCCTTTGGGAGACGCAAGTGGGGCGAGAGGCCCATTCCTCTGATCTTCTAGATCTTTCGTCAGCCCGAGGCTGGGCGATCGATGGCGGCGCCTCTAGGTGTATCATTACAGTCCCGAGTATACCCTCGCCTGCCCACCCCTTCTCTCTTGGCATCATGTCCCCCCCAGACACACCAGCTTCTGGCTCTGAAGCCTTCCTCCCCAGCAGAGGCTGGGCACCCAGGCCCAAGAGGGCAGCCGTCTTGTTCAGGCCTGGTACATTGCCATGACAACCTGGAGCCTCCCAGCCCCACTGCACAAGCCCCTCTGAAAAAGTAATCAGGAAAACTTCTGTGGTTAAAGATGAACCATGGGGCAACATATTGAAGATGGGCTGCTCGGGCCCAGGCAGCAGTGGATTGGGGGGCAGAGGCACCAAAGCATTTCCTCCTGACAGGAGGGCCCGGGGCCATCGGCCAGCCTCCAGAGCCCATGAATCAATTCCAGGCAGTCTGTCCGCCCCTGAGGGGTCAACTTGAGACTGGGGGACAGGAGAGGGGCGGGGGGCTTGCTGCAGCAGGGCAGGCATCACATGCCCCCCCATCCCATTTGTCCCGGAACTGAACCTGTCTCCCTTTCCCATATGCCCCAAGGCCTCCCCTCTTTCCACTGGAGAGTTTGGTGGCCCTGCCAACAGCAGGGGTCCTGGCACAAGGCTAGGGGCCCCTCCCTGTCCATAGACTGGCCCCCAGAGCCAGTCCCAGTCCCAGGCTGCACACACAGCTGCCCAGGGAGCAGAGGCCCATGTTGAGTCTCAGAGGAAAATGAACTTGTGCAAAGGGTCCCCCAAATCGATGATCCCTTAGTCCCTCCCTGAGAGCTACCCACCAATTTAAGGCCTCCCCAGTTCCCACCTTCAGGCCTCCCCAGATTGTGGTCCCTCTGCCTCTCCCCCAGCCTGTACACCTGGCCCGGGTGAGTTTCGTCATCCCAGCCTTCAACTCCAACTTCACCCTGGACCTGGAGCTGAACCAGTGAGTACAGCCTCCTGCCGGGAAGCAGGGGGTGGCGGCGGGAGGGCAGGGAGGGAAGCCTGGCCTGGTTTGGGTCTGGAGGGGCACCTGGGGAGGCTCTCCATTCCGGAACTTGCCTCACCCGTGACCCCTTCCTTCCTCCTGTCCGCTGTCTGTCCTAGTCACCTCCTCTCCTCGCAATACGTGGAGCGTCATTTCAGCCGAGAGGGGGCCGCCCAGCGCAGCACTGTGAGTGCCCGGGAGGGGCCGGGGAGGCGGAGTCTGTGTGCTCGGTGCCAGTGGAGCTGGAGTCTGGGGTACCCTGGGGAGTGGTACTTTCTCTTTCTCCCAGGTCTGCAGTCTGGTGGGCAGGTGTGGGAACTGGAGCCCCCTTACCTGATTCCGGAGGTCTGGTCCCCAGCTAGCCTCTCTCCCCAGTATGCAGGCATGCAAGGACCCTCAGATCCTGCCCAGCTCTGCCCCCTGTGCCAGCCTCTTTGAGAGGGGGAGGGGGCAGGTGGGGGAATGCCCTGTTGTCCAAGGCCCTGGGAAGCCGCAGTGTTGAGACCCCAGGGTCCCAGGGCCCAGTCCCGGAGCAGTGATGAATGAATGGCTATAAATAGCCACCCCCCCACCCCCACCCCCAGCCTGTCCAGTAACTGGAGCATGAGCTATTCAGGAAGCAAGGTGGGAAGGTGGTGCCTGGGCCCCTGGAGCCCTAGACCTCCTCAGCCCTCAATCACAGGCCCTGGGCAGGTGTGTGTCTGTGTGTGGGAGGGTCCAGGCACGCAAGGCGGGGATTGGCGCAAACTCCCTGGGAGGCACTGGCAGCTGCAAGTGTTCCTTAGTGTGAGATCCCGTGTGCTTACACCGAGTGGTGGGGCGGGGGGCGGTACCATACAAATGAGATGCAAATCAAGCCCGTCCCATGCACGGAGTCGATTCTGACTCATGAGAACCCTGTACAGGGACAGTCTTGGTGTCGCCAAGCGGCCGGGTGGGCTGACCGCTGACCTTCCAGTTAGGAGCCCGATGCCGAACCCTTAGCACCAGATCAACCCAAACCCAGTCTCCCCGCCCGTGAGTCGGTGCCGACCCACACCGACCTTATAGGACAGAGGAGAACTGCCCCTGTGGGTGTCCGAGACGGTGACTCTTTACGGGAGTAGAAAGCCTCTTTCTCCTTTGGCAGTGGGTGGTTTGGAACTGCTGACCTTGGGGTTAGCAGCCCAATGCGTAACCACCAGGCGGCCAGCCTCCATGACTGCCGGGTAAAGGCTTGGAGCCATGCTCAGCACATAGTAGGTGCTATATAAAGGTCACACCCAAATCCCACTGCCATCCCAGCACCTAACGACGCTACAGGACTGCATTCCCAGGCTGTGAACCACTTTGTTCTTCTTCGGAGCAGGGGGTGGGTTCAAACTGCCGGCCCTTTGGTTAGCCGGCAGTGCTTCACCCACTGCGCCACAAGGGCTCCTTTCATGGAGCTGTTATCATCAACAAAGGAGCATGGGATGCCCCGTACAGCCAGGCTCCCACAGCACTCCGAAGGCCAACCGAGTAGGTCCCAGGTGCCCACCCTCTGCCTGTGACCCTACAGGGTGCTGGGGACCACTGCTACTACCAGGGGAAGCTCCGGGGGGACCCGAACTCCTTTGCTGCTCTAGCCACCTGCCATGGCCTGCAGTAAGTATGGGAAGGCTGGGTGCAGGGGCCTCCAGTCACTGGCCCAGGGCATGGTGGGGAGCTGGCCTATCTCTCCGCAGAGGGGTCTTCTCCGATGGGAACTTTACTTACACTGTGGAGCCCCGTGAGATGGCTGGTCCTCGGGAAGCCCCCCAGGTAAACCCCACACAGCCCCGTCGGCCCTCGTCCGGCCTGGCCATGTTTGACCCCAATGGCATTGGCGATTTCCGCTCCCTCCCCTTCCTTGGTAACAAGAGCAGTCCCACTGCCCTCCTCAGTGACCCCAGCTCCAGTGTCCCCTCTGTCCCCCAAGTAACCTCCAGGTGGGGCTCCTGTGTCCTTTGCCCCACCTCTCCGGCTGCCCCCAGAGCTTCACCCCGGAATCTGAGCAGCGGAGCGATCAGATCCCACAGGGACGCTCTAGCTGGTGCTGGGTCACCCTAGACTGAACCGGTTCCCTCCCCACTGGGTCTAGAACTGGGCTGTCTGCCCCTGCCCCCCCCCCCCGACCTAATTCCCCCCCTTTGCAGGGACCCTTTCCTCACCTTATTTACCGGACCCCTCTCCTCGAAGCCCCCATCAGATGCAGGGAGCCAGGTAAGGGGGTGGTGCAAGTGGGGTGGGGAGGGGGCTGGCGCTGCCCCCTCACTAGACCCCTTTCCACAGGTTGCCTGTTTGCTGCCCCTGCCCATCCTGCCCCCCCGCACTGGCTGAGGCTGAGAAGGAAAAGGCAGGTACGGGGGGCCTACACAGACCTTGGGCTGCAGACACCTCAGACTGGGATCCAGAGCAGGGCACCCCATGGCTAGGGCAGCTCGTGGCCAGGGACCCTCTCTGAGAGTATGGGGGGCACCCCATCCCCTTTCCCCAGGCTGCCATACACACATGCCAGTCAAGCTGCTGCCCTCCAGCCAGCCTGGGGGGGGTGGGACCCTCCACCAGTGGGGACCCGCATTGCCCCTGGCTGGAGCTCTGGTCCCCTAGTCTGCCCATGGCTTGGCCCCAAGGCCTGGCCTGGAGGGAATTGATTCCAAGGAACCACGCCCCCCCCACCCCCCAGGTCCGCAGGGGCCATCCCACAGTGCACAGCGAGACAAAGTATGTGGAGCTGATTGTCATCAATGACCACCAGCTGGTAAGCCCCCAGGTGCAAAGGCCTGGTGTGGGAGGAGGGCCCTGGGTGGAGCCCCACTGGCCACCCACTCCCTCCCTCTCCCCTAGTTTGAGCAGATGCGGCAGTCCGTGGTCCTCACCAGCAACTTCGCCAAGTCTGTGGTGAACTTGGCCGACGTGGTGAGCATCGCCCCCCTCCCCCAGCAACTGGTGTCAGCCTTGTACTCTCCCTTCTTAGAAGACACTCTGAGCCCATGTCCAGTCCTGCCCGCCCTCCCACCCCCACTCCTCAGCCCCTTCCTTACCCTTTTCCCTTTGGGCCCAGATATTCAAGGAACAGCTCAACACCCGCATTGTGCTGGTGGCCATGGAAACATGGGCCGATGGGGACAAGATCCAGGTGCAGGATGACCTCCTGGAGACCCTGGCCCGGCTCATGGTCTACCGGCGGGAGGGCCTGCCTGAGCCCAGTGATGCCACCCACCTCTTTTCGTGAGCCCCCCTCCCACCCCTTGTATCCTGTCAGTCTGCTGGGGGCCCGCTTCAGTCACCTGTTCCCTGGGGCTTACTCAACACCTGCCCCAGACCAAGCAGTCTATGGGGTCTGGGACTCCTATGGCACCTGCCGCCCACCCACCCACGTCAAATGCCAGTCTGTGCAGCTTCCCCTGTACCTTAATTAAGGCCTCCCCCCCTCCCCCACGAGACCACCTGCCCATCGCTCTCTCTTCCCCTTTTGACCATCCCAAGATGTCTTCAGGGACCCAGTACCCTCAGAGGGGAAGACCTGATAAACAGCCCTTGCATAGAGGGATTTGGGGGATTATCTAAGGAGAACTTCACATTTGTGGGCAAGTGAGCCCAGAGATGAAGAGGTGCTTGCTGAGGTCACATGGCTGGATGTGGGGAGATGCTGATCTTCTGGGGGAGACCCCAAGGTGAGGACAGAGCCTTCTCCTGACCATCCCCCGCCTTCCAGGGGCAGAACTTTCCAGAGTACCAGCAGCGGAGCTGCCTACATGGGGGGCGTCTGCTCCATGGCCCGGGGTGGGGGCGTGAACGAGGTGAGCAGGTGGGCGGGAGGCTGCCCGCTGGGTGAGGGCTGGTCCTGTGCTCTTGGCAGTAAGCAGATCTCTGTGCTTCTGTCCCGCTCACCCCCAGTTTGGCAACGTGGGAGCCATGGCGGTGACCCTGGCCCAGACGCTGGGGCAGAACCTGGGCATGATGTGGAACAAACACCGGAGCTCTGCAGGTAAGGGCCCTCCAAGATGCCCTGTGGGCCCAGAACCAGCCCAGAGCCACCCCCCGCCCCGGGCATTCCGTGGTGGGGAGAGGGTCTCAGCCTGCTCTCACAGGCCCTTGGCTCACCCCACAGGGGACTGCAAGTGCCCGGACATTTGGCTGGGTTGCATCATGGAGGACACTGGGTGAGTTCGTAGGAGCAAACCGGAGGCCGGCTCTGGAGCAAGGGGAAGTCTGGACTGAGTACTAACTGGGTGGGCGTCCGTGGCGGACATGTCCTGCCAGCACAACGTGGCGGAATGCAGTGCGCACTGTCGCCACTGGGCGCCGCCACAGGCTCGTTTGGAGACACCGCGTCCCTCCCTCCGCACAGGGCCTAGGGAAGGGCGGGGCGCGTGGGGGGCGAGCCTCGGCCTCCTCCTGGTGACCGGGACCCTCTCCTGTGTTGCCCTCGCCCCAGTCTTAAGAAGGGGTCAGGATGGGACTTACTGTGTTCCCACCCGGCCTAGGTTCTACCTGCCCCGCAAGTTCTCGCGCTGCAGCATCGATGAGTACAACCAGTTTCTGCAGGAGGGCGGCGGGAGCTGCCTCTTCAACAAGCCCCTCAAGGTGCGCGCCCGGGGCCGGACAGCTGGGAGATGGGTTTGGGCAGGGTCTCGGCTGGCTACTCTGACGACACCCCTCTTGTCCAGCTCCTGGACCCCCCAGAGTGCGGGAACGGCTTCGTGGAAACCGGGGAGGAATGCGATTGCGGCTCTGTGCAGGTGAGCGGCAGTGGGGCGCCAGGTTGGGCCTGAGGTCGGGGCTGGGGAGGATCCGGGGCCACCTGTCCCCCGTTCCCCTGCCTCCCAGGAGTGCAGCCGCTCGGGCGGGAACTGCTGCAAGAAGTGCACCCTGACCCATGACGCCATGTGCAGCGACGGGCTCTGCTGTCGCCGCTGCAAGGTGAGGAGACCGCAGGAGGAAGGGGCGGGGTCTAAGGTGGAGAGGCGTGTCCGGGGGCGGAGCGGGGCTGCAGGGCAGGGGCGGAGAGGGCTGGCAATCTGAAAAGTGGCACTGACGGGCGGAAGGGGAATGGGAGCCAAGGGGTAACACTGAATAAACCGAAACGTCCCTGCCATCCAGAACCCTCCGGGGTTCGAGGCTGTAATTCTTTACAGGAGCAGACAGACTCCTCTCTCCCTTCAGCAGCTGGTGGTTCGAACCACAGACCTCGTGGTTTGCAGCACAATCCGTGTTCCCGACGGTACCACTGAGGCTCCTTTTCCCCAGGGGGGTGACTCACAGTGACCCTAGAGGACAGGGCGGAACTGCCCCTGTGGGTTTCCGAGACTGTGGCTTTTCACAGGAGTAGAAAGTCTCACATTGCTCTTGCTGAGCAGCTGGTGGTTTCGAACTGCTGACCTTGGGATTAGTAGCCCAGTGTGTAACTCACTCCACCATCAGGGCTTCTCCCAGAGAGGGTAGGGGCAGTGAAACAGGAAGAAACCAAAAGGTGGGTTTCTGGGCCCGGGACCAGGGGGCTTGGCCCTGAGCCCCAGAACAAATCCTTTCCCTAGTACGAGCCTCGGGGCGTGTCCTGCCGAGAAGCGGTGAACGAGTGTGACATCGCAGAGACCTGTACCGGGGACTCTAGCCAGGTCAGCTGGGCCCCTCGGCCCTGCAGGGGGCATTGCCCTCCTGCTGCTGCACATTCCACGTCTCCACCTGAAAGGGGTTCTGCCAGCCTTGCTACTTTAATCATCAGCTGGTATTTGTAGTCCGGCGGTTCCCAGCATTTGGGGTGGTGTGTGCTGTATGCTGGGGTCCATCAGAGTGGTCAGTGAGAGCAACCCTTCTTAGGGCCTCGCTGTGAGTCATGGGTCCTCCCTGCCTTGGGATGTTGCTGGGGCGGCTGCAGGACTTGGCTCCTGATGGTCTGAGTTCAGAGCCAGCCTGTCCTTGGACACACAAAGGCTCTCTCATGTGAGCCCTTGCCTGGGGGCACTCAGGGCCCCTTTGCTGCTCTCCTGGGCTGGACCTCGGGGCTGCTCAGCTCAGCCCAGTCCTCTCCCCACAGTGCCCCCCTAACCTGCACAAGCTGGATGGTTACTACTGCGACCAGGAGCAGGTATGAGGGGGCTGTCCTCCTTCTGGTGACTGGCTGGCTCAGTGCGCTGACACTCAGTGCCCCTGCTCCTTTTTTCCCCGGTGATTCTTAGGGTCGCTGCTACGGTGGCCGATGCAAAACCCGAGACCGGCAATGCCGGGCCCTCTGGGGCCATGGTGAGTCAGCCTGGGGGAGGGGGGGGGCGCTCGGGAGGCCCAGAGAACTGGGAAAGGGAGGCAGCTTCTGGCTAAGTATGCTCCCTACGTGGGGGGCCTCCCTAGCATCTTGGGGATCCAGCTGGACTGGGAGCCAGTGCAGAAGGGGCAGGGGATACCCTATATGCCCCTACAGCTGCTGCCGACCGCTTCTGCTATGAGAAACTGAATGTGGAGGGGACAGAGCGTGGGAACTGCGGGCGCAAAGGGTCCGGATGGGTCCAGTGCAGTAAGCAGTGAGTGGCCAGGGCTCCCAGCAGGGCTGCCCCAGCTCCCAGCGGGCGGGTGGGTGGGGAGGGCTTTGCAGAGGTGGGACAACAGCTGCTTTTAGGACTAGCCTCTGAGTCTCGGGGGAGGGCTGTGTATAAGATCAGGTGGGAGGAGGTCAGAGAAGGTCCAGGAGGGGGGCCTGGGGCCAGGCTGGGGCTCAGTTTCCCCTCTGCCCAACAGGGATGTGCTCTGTGGCTTCCTCCTCTGTGTCAACATCTCTGGGGCCCCTCGTCTGGGGGACCTGGGAGGAGACATCAGCAGTGTCACCTTCTACCATCAGGGCAAGGAGCTGGACTGCAGGTATTGGCTGTGCCTCTGGCTGGGGTTGGGGAAGTTCCCACTCGGAGGGGGCCAGGCGCTGAGGCTAGCGGGCCCTTTCCCCAGGGGAGGCCATGTGCAGTTGGCCGATGGCTCGGACCTGAGCTACGTGGAGGACGGCACAGCCTGCGGTCCCAACATGCTGTGCCTGGAGCACCGCTGCTTGCCCGCTGCGGCCTTCAACTTCAGCACCTGCCCTGGAAGTGGGGATCGCCGGGTCTGCTCTCACCATGGGGTGGGTGCCTGCAGGCGGGGGTGGGAGGGGAGGCCCCCGGC